CTATTGATTGGGTTCACCAGCATGCTCCAACCACCGACTCTTTACTCTACCCTCACCGATAGTGAAGGAGACGAGTTTCTGGGAGAAGATGAGTAGATCTACTCAAATCTGATGTAGATCTACTCAAATCTAATGTAGATCTACACCAGATCTGAGCAGATCTACATGAGATCCGACTAGATCTAAACCAAAATAGTTGCCGAAGTACAATATTCTCTCTATATCTATTTCTCTCCTTCGATCTCTCAATTTTTCTACCTTTTTTTTTTTTGCTGCTACACTTCTATTTTCCTATTTTAATAGAGAAAATTTTTAAATTCTGAACAAGTTGTTTTCGAATTTTAGTTATAGGCAGTGAAAACTATAAAATTTTACAGTTTCAATTTTTTGGTACTAAAATGAGTCATACTTTATAACTGTAAAATTTTACAATTTCATAACATTCTTTAGAACTAAAATTTTACTAATAAGAATGAATGCTTAGTAATAGTTTCAAAACTTAATATTCAGTTTGATCAATATTGGAGATTACTTGCTTAAATCCTACAAAAATTAAAAAATAATATGTTTTTTCCCATTGTTGTTTGTTGTTGTTAATTTTTTTTTTCCTTTCGGTTTATCAATATTTAGCACATTTTTTTATATTTTTTCACTATAATATCTCCATTTATTCTTTTTTTATTTTAGGCATTCTGGTAAGTCTTCGACGATGTTCTTAATGTCCAGCGAACATTCTGAATATTCCACCGACTTCCAGTGACGTTTAGAACACTCCAGCGATACTCTAGTAAACTTATGACGATACTCTGGCAACTTGCCAGTGATGTTGAACATTTCGGCTAGTCTTCGGTGATCGTTTGACGAAAGTCTGATGGTGGTGGGATATGACTATTGGAAAAATAATAGTTTTTTTGTGACTTTAATACAATATTAAGTGGATGTCAATCCTCAATTGAGGTGGAGTAAAGTGGGTTTAGATTCTTTTCTACCCTCACCGATAGTGAAAGAGACGAGTTTCTGGAAGAAGATGAGTAGATCTACTCAGATCTGATGTAGATCTACTCAAATCTAATGTAGATCTACACCAGATCTGAGCAGATCTATATGAGATCCGACTAGATCTAAACCAAAATAGTTGCCGAAGTATAATATTCTCTCTATATCTATTTCTCTCCTCCGATCTCTCAATTTTTCTACCTTTTTTTTGCTGCTACACTTCTATTTTCCTATTTTAATAGAGAAATTTTTTAAATTCTGAACAAGTTGTTTTCGAATTTTAGTTATAGGCAGTGAAAACTGTAAAATTTTACAGTTTCAATTTTTTGGTACTGAAATGAGTCATACTTTATAACTGTAAAAGTTTACAATTTCATAACATTCTTTAGAACTAAAATTTTACTAATAAGAATAAATGCTTAGTAATAGTTTCAAAACTTAATTTTCAGTTTGATCAATATTGGAGATTACTTGCTTAAATCCTACAAAAATTAAAAAATAATATGTTTTTTCCCATTGTTGTTTGTTGTTGTTAATTTTTTTTTTCCTTTCGGTTTATCAATATTTAGCACATTTTTTTATATTTTTTCACTATAATATCTCCATTTATTCTTTTTTTATTTTAGGCATTCTGGTAAGTCTTCGACGATGTTCTTAATGTCCAGCGAACATTCTGAATATTCCACCGACTCCCAGTGACGTTTAGAACACTCCGGCGATACTCTAGTAAACTTATGACGATACTCTGGCAACTTGCCGGTGATGTTGAACATTTCGACTAGTCTTCAGTGATCGTTTGACGAAAGTCCGATGGTGGTGGGATATGACTATTGGAAAAATAATAGTTTTTTTGTGACTTTAATGCAATATTAAAGTGGGTGCCAATCCTCAATTGAGGTGGCGTAAAGTGGGTTTAGATTCTTTGTAGTGAGTCTTTACAACACAAAAAGAATGACAAAAAACCATTAAGATTTGAATGAGAAATTGACTCATTAAGTTGGCCTCATGAAAGAGGTGTTAGGAAAGGTGTAAAACCTTGTATCCCACATTGATTGTAGAGGAGAGCATTGATGGATATTTAAATCACATTGTTTGCCTAAGGGTGTAAGCCCTTTGGGGCATCCAAATTTTCCAAAAGAAGGGAATTATGGATGCTTCCAAGATGGACTTAGGCCAAGACTATGGTCCAAGTTAGTTATGCAAAAATTGCCACATGCGCACGCACGCAGCCCACACGGGGGTCAGGTCCAGGTCCGTGGGTCGTGGATCTTGGGACTTGGGACTTGGGCTTGAAGCTTGAGGCTTGAGTGTAGGGGTTGGGCTTGGCCTACCCATCTTAATCTTTTTGGGCCAAGCTAGGTCTGTGGGCTGCAGATATATATATACACAAAACTTATGTGTACAGCTGGTAACTCTTCTATTGATGATGAACTTGAACCCATCAATTTTGCAGATTAATTTTCAGAATTAAATCCTACATTTGCTACAGGAGGCTCCTCCTCTCTCCTCTTCCATGTATATAAAATGAGACTCCTCTCCTTTAGTTTTCTACCCGGAAAATTTTCTCCTCTTCGTCTTCCAAATTTTTTTCCAATTTTATATTATTCTTGTGAGAGAGTGCTGCAAAGTTCTGTTCGTCAATGCTACTCAGTCGATGCATTGCTATAGCTGGTCCAACTGTCGTATCTTGGGAGACAGACGTCGAACAACCTCCAGCACCCAACCCATGAGGCGGCGAATCTGTTTTAAGGAGACTGTCTAGTGCAGGCTTCAGTTTGCTTCCTTTGCTATTTTATTTTATTATGTATTGTAATTTTCAGCATGATTTGCTTGTTCTGAAATTTCAATTGTCAATTATGAATCTATTTGTTTATGTTATCACACAATTTATACAACAAACTTAAAACAGATTATATATTTTCCATGGAATTGGTTAAATAGATTCATATATATGATAAGGGATTTGTTTCTGTGCTTTCCTACTGTAAAGTAAATTACCAAAAGTATTTCTGAGTAGCCTACTGTGATAGTCTAGCTGTAGCTTTTGTGATTCTTGAATAATGGCCACTGTTGCTTTCCATATTTGTATGAATTCGGATTATGTTCCTAAATTAGCTGGGCCACTGTTACATCTATAAAATCATGAGTAGCAATCAGACTTGTAGCATATAGATAAGCCAAATGTTGTGCATAACAAATAATAAATAATATTAAAAAAAATTAGTAGTTGTTTAATTTTGTTTAGTAATTCCCACTTGTCCTGCTATGATTATTTTCTGGGCAAATGGTACAGATTTTTTTTTTTCTGGAAATACATGATTGTAAATTATGCAATGCTATCCTCTAATCGCTTAGTTTAAGTAGAATGCTCTAGCATAATTTGCATACTTAATTGTTTTAGTATGATTTTATTCTATGTGTATGGTTCATAATTCCCTATCATGATTTGCATGATTTTTAATTTTATAATATAATTTGCTTGCTTATGGGTGTTGCAATTTTGTCATGCTAATTATTTTCTAAATTTTAGTTCATCTTACATGATTTAATTTCTAGATTTATGTGCATGTTAATTGTTAAATGGTTATTGTTTTGTAACAATGATATATATAACTCTTGGCTATTAAATTTAATTTCAGGTTTTGGAGTTATCAATTTTTTGTAACTTGCATATTTATTGTGTAATAATTATATATATATATATAACTCATGGATATTAATTCTTAATTCAATGCTTAGAGTTATAGGTTCGTTTTGTAACTCTTTTATTGTGGAGTTATAAATTTTAATTGTGTACCTCATCTATAATTATTTATGTTATTGTTTGTTTCATTGTGAATTAAATTTATAAATAACTCTTGACTATTAACTTTTAATTTAAGTCCGAGAGTTATAGATTTATTTTTGTAACCCATCTAGTATTTTAATGGATTAGTTAATTTTAATTATTAAATAGTTTGCTAGATGGTCTCAAATAATTTATTATATTTACAGTTTCTTTAGATTGTTTAGTGTGTTTAGTTTGTATTGTCTTGTGTTTTTCTACTAACTTTCTTTACAGAAATACCTATACGAAAGACATTGGAAAAATAAATACAAAACCAAATGAATAGTATTTGGGATGTCAAAATAAAAATGTTTGAACTACTAACCTTTGTGTTGAATAAGAATACCTAAGTATGGAAAGAAATTTTTGGACTAATTGAAATCCTTATGGAATGGTTACTGTCTTTATCATTTAAGTAATATTTTGCTTGAGATTTAGTGGTAGTTACTTGCTATTTTTTAAGCAAGGTTGTTTGCTTGGCATATTGGAAGCAAGTTTTATTTGCTTGTATTTTTTACATTGCATGTTATTTGGTTAGCAATTTTTAAATTGCTTGTAAGTGTTGGACTTTGGTTTGTTTAACCTAGTTCATCCCTTGGAAAACTTAATTCTAAAAATTGTTTCTCATGGACTAGGAGTCAACATGCTCTTCAAAGTTTTGTCAAAATGTTAACTGGATTTTAAGTGGGACCGATGTGACTCCTCCAATCTTCCTGGGAACATTCATGACCATGTTCAATTCTAGATTAAGTGGTGAGACTAGTTTTGAATTAACTTTTCAGCTTTGGGATTTTCTAGTGTAAAGTTTAATTTCTGGAACACAGAAAGTGAAATTCTATTGTATTTTTCAGAAATGACCACTATCACCAATGTTGCTGCTGCTGCTACCAATGTTGGTGGAGATCTGAACCCCAGGGCAACTGGCTTATCAACCCCTCCTATTGTGACCTCTGTGGTCAACCCGGTTACGGTGACCTCTGTGGTCAATCCTATTGTTGCTCATGTTGTTCCAAGAGGCCTACTCAACCATCACAAGCGCCTGGAGAAGTTCACGGGAGTGAATTTTAAGAGGTGGTAGCAGAAGATGTTGTTCTACTTGACTACTTTAAGCCTTGCGAGGTTTTTGAGTGAAGATCCACCAGTCGTAGAGGAGAATGAGTGAGACAAACAGAAGCTCATGGCTCTAGATGCTTGGAAGCAGTCAGACTTCCTTTGCCGGAACTATGTTCTGAATAGCTTGGCAGATTCACTTTTCAATGTGTTTTATGCCAAAAAGTCGACAAATGAGCTGTGGGATGCTTTAGACAAGAAGTACAAGACCGAGGATGCTGGGGCAAAGAAATTTGTTGTTAGCCGATTTCTGGACTTCAAGATAGTGGACTCAAAAATCGTCATCAATCAAGTCCAAGAGTTTCAAGTAATTCTGTATGAGATTCATGCAGAGGGAATGTTTCTGAGCGAATCATTCTAGGTAGCTGCGTTGATTGAGAAGCTACCTAACGGCTGGAAAGACTTCAAAAACTACTTGAAGCATAAACGAAAGGAGATAACAGTTGAAGAGCTCGTTGTCAGGCTTTGTATTGAGAAAGACAACCGAAAGAAATGAGAGAGTACCTCCATGGTGAAAGCAAATGTGGTTGAGTATGGCCAATCCTTAAGGGTGAGAAAAAAAAACTATCAACAGGCAAAAGCTCAAAGTTGGGGGAGAAAGGCAGTGTCTCCACGAGACCGGTCTACAAGCCACAAAAACCTACTTTTAGGTTCAATGGAAAGTGCTTGAACTATGGAAGCGATAGGCATCAGGCAGTTGATTGCCGCAAAAAGAAAAAGCCTTACAAGAAGTATCCTCCACAAAACAAAAGCGGGCCTCACATGGCTGAAATAGAGGATCTCTCACAAGATGTGGATGACATGCATCTGGCAACTATCGTCACCGAAGTGAACATGGTGGGGTCCAACCCAAAGGAATAGTGGGTGGGCACTGGTGCCACTCGCCACATCTGTGCTAAGAAGAAGATATTCACAACCTTCAAACCGATTTCAAACGATGAGAAATTGTTCATGGGGAAGTCTCCCACCTTAACTGTTGAGGGAAAGGGTAAGGTGGTCCTGAAGATGACTTCAGGGAAAGAGTTGACTCTGAACGATGTCCTATTTGTGCCGGACATTCGTAAGAACCTTGTCTCGAGGTCATTCTTAAGCAAGCATAGCTTCCGCATGGTGTTTGAATCTGATAAGGTCGTATTCACCAAGAGCGGGGTCTATGTGGGGAAGGGTATATGTTGGGCTGTATGTTTAAGCTCAATGTAATTACTCTTGTCCCGAAAATTAATGAGAAAGCTTTTTCTTCTACTTATATGCTTGAGTTCCCTAATTTATGACATGGTAGACTAGGTCATGTAAATTTTGACTCTTTGCGTAGATTAATCAAATTAGATCACATACCATCTTTCAAGATTAATCAAAATCACAAGTGCGAAACTTGTGTAGAAGTAAAATTGACAAGGACTTCGTTTCATTCTATTGAAAGAAGTACTGAGCCTTTGGATTTAGTGCACAGTGATGTATGTAACTTGAAAGTCATACAATCACGTGGTGGCAACAAATACTTCATCACTTTTGTTGATGATTACACTAAATACTGTTATGTTTATTTGCTTAAAGGCAAAGATGAGGAGATTGATAAATTTATTCTTTTCAAGAATGAAGTTGAGAATCAATTAAGCCGTAAGATCAAGGTTTTAAGAAGTGACCATGGCGGTGAGTATGAATCCCTATTTTCCGAGACTTGTGCTCAATTTAGGATTCTTCACCAAACCACAGCGCCTTACTCCCCTTAGTCAAATGGTGTTGCTGAGCGGAAAATTAGCACATTAAAAGAAATGATGAGTTATAATGCCCCCAGAATAATTACAATAATCCAACTCCAAACACCAGTACAAAGTGATATAGATACAATAAGAAACTTTCATTAATCAGAGTTAATATACAAAAGGTGACACATGCGATATACAATCATAAATTATTCATCCTGAATCTACAGCATGTGTTACAAGACGTAAATAAAGAATGAAAGCTAAACAGATATTCATATGCCCTAATGGCTTACATCTTTCCAAGACCGTGCTTGGTTACAACAAAATGAGTCATAAGCTCAATACAAATAAAACCTTAGGCTTATAAAGAAATAAATACAAAATAAATAGAAATTGAGCCTTCAGCTCCACAATCCTCCCAAGCTAAGTCCTTGGTGGAGGTACATCACCAGCACTTGAAAATGGTTTTTCCTAAGTAGGGTAAACCAAAACCTAGTAGAAACAATCTAACACAATATATGAATCTTAACAAAATATAAGTATAATATGCATATACAACGCCTGTGATAAAATCATTTGTATCCTACAAGATAATAATATGCCAAATTTTATACCTCAATCCATTTTATCTCAATTCATTTTAAGTCAATTCATTTCACCTCAACTCATGAATCAAATTCATTGTTATCCAAACAACCCAACTGAGGCTACAACTCAGTGGTTAACTAATCAATACAACCATTACACAAACACTTCAATTTGTCATTTTACGAAAATTTCGTTCGCGGCAATTAGCACCCATGTATATGCGCAATTTTTTGGATTTTCACCCTTGACACACAGGCCAACTTAATTCAATAGAGTTTATCCCATTTCTTCTCCCAAACATGAAATACATCCATTTTCTCCTCCCAAATATCATACATCTGCAATGTATTAAAACACGGTCATATTCAATGACAATAATTAAGAGATTAGTTTCAATTCACCTAATCCTCATGCAATTTCTACAACAATCATAACTATCCTCCACCGATAGCCCAAAACAGATATTTCTAAATAGATATACAATCTCCAAGACAGATAAATTATCCAAATTTCCATAAGTGATAGATAATACATATCTAACCCCACCATTTATATAAACATTCATCCAATTTCATATTTCCAATACCAATTTCATTATTTATACAAAATAACCATTTTAAACATTTTAGGGCAAAACTCCATTCTCTCCTAAATCCAACCCATGTGTCAAAATCAATAAATTTAACACAACACATCTTCATATCTATACCCATAACCATTTTCAATAACTTCATTTGTAAACCCCTCCTTTGATTTTAAACCAAAACCCTAGGTTTATCTAAAACCCTCCAAATCCTAACATTATTTACACAACAACATATAACTACGTTAAAAATCATAGAAGAGTGTAGCAAGTCCCTACCTTAAGCTTAGAAGACCAAAGCAACAATGGAGGAACTTCAAAGACGCCGAAACCAAATTTTGTTCGGACCAAAATGGAACTCTTGAGACACTCTACCTTTTTAACAAAGGCACACAGGCAGCAAAACCAACGAATCTAGGTGAAAATGTAGAGAGAATGTAGGTTTTAGAGAGAGAGGCATTAGATCTAGGATTTTGGAAAAGTAGAGAGAGAGATCTAAAAAAGTGATATAAAATATCACTTTTACGGACTGAAATACGCATAGTCTACTCGAGCGCAAGAAGTGACGTTTAAGCATCAAACACAATAAGTTGTTCCGCTCGAGCGCAAAAAATGACGCTCGAGCGCATAATGCACACTCCCAGTAGTTTTACAAATAACAGACCAACGCTTGAGCGCAAGAAATGCTGCTCGAGCACAAAAAAAATCACTTGAGCGTAGAATCCACTCTCCCAATAGTTTTACAGACCTACAGAAGTGCTGAGAGTTTGCAAAGCCCACTCGAGCGCAAGAAGTGCAGCTCGAGTGGAGGAGTAAAAATCTGGGCATCCAAAGTTTGAAAACTAAGCAACCAACCTATCCCAAATGCAACCATAACAACCCAATAGCCAAATTTAAAGAATTACAAGGGAAGCAAGATATGACCAACAATACAACACCACGAAACCCGAGTCCAGAATACAACAAGGATCGGGTCAAAACCAGAATCGCTATATGAATACAATGTTGATCAGTTTTGGATTGCCACAGAACTTGTGGGGGGAAGCAATTCTTTCTGCGAATTACATTCTTAATAGAATACCTCGAAAGAATATATTCATTGGCTATACACATAATAGCAGTGCATATCGATTTCTTGTGTTTAAATCTGCTATTTCAAATATACACAAGAATACTATTATGGAATCAAAAAATGCATCTTTCTTTGAAGATGTATTTCCTCATCGTCTCTAAGAAGGGGTTTCGAGTTCCATGAAAAAAGTTAAAGATGACTATGATTACATAGATGATCACATAGATGATCAAGTCAATGATCAAGCTGAGGAAGTAGATGAGCCAAGAAGGAGTAAGAGGGCTAAGATTGCAAAATTCTTTGGTCCGGACTTCTTGACTTATATGTTAAAGGGAGAACCTCGAACTTTCCATGAAGCTGTGACTTCACCTGAAAGTCCTTTGTGGAAAGAAGTAATTAAGAGCGCGATTGATTCCATTTTATAAAACCATACTTGGGAGTTGGTTGATCTATCCCCAAGCAGTAAGGCCTTGGGGAGTAAATGGATCTTTAGAAGAAAGATGAAAGTGAATGGATCAATTGATAAATATAAAGTTAGACTAGTTATCAAAAGATACAGGCAGCGAGGAGGGCTGGATTACTTTGATACGTATTCACCTATGACAAGGATTACATCCATTCGTATGGTGATTGCGATAGCAAATTTACATGGTCTCGAAATACATTAAATGGATGTAAAGATAACTTTCTTAAATGGAGATTTAGATGAAGAAATTTACATAGAGCAACCCGAGGGGTTTTCAACTCCAGGACAAAATAAGAAAGTCTGTAAGCTTGTTAAATCATTGTATGGTTTGAAGTAAGCTCCTAAACAATGGCGTAAGAAGTTTGACAACGCTATGTTGTCAAATAGGTTCAAAGTTAATGAGTGTGACAAATGCGTATATGTCAAAGACACTAACAGAAGTTATGTCATTTTGTGTCTATATGTTGATGACATACTCATTGTTGGTAGTAATAATGAAATGATTTGAACTACCAAGAGATTGTTAAACTCTAAGTTTGACATGAAATATATGGGTCTTGCAGATGTCATTTTGGGTATTAAGATTACCAAAACATCTAGTGGTATGGTACTTTCTTAGTCTCACTATGTTGAGAAGATACTTGAAAAATTTGGTAAATTAGATACAAGTGTATGTAGGACGCTGGTAGACATGAGTCTACATTTGACCACGAATAATAGTGAGAGTGTCTCTCAGCTAGAATATTCTCGGGTCATTGGAAGTTTGATGTATCTGATGAGTTGTACAAAGCCAGATATAGCCTACTTTGTTAACAGGCATAGTAGATACACGAGTAATCCGATTATTACTCATTATAAGGGCATCATAATCTGCGCTACACCTAGCGTTATGGGTTGCATTATACCATATACCTAGCGGTACTAGAAAGGTATAGTGACGCTAATTGGATATCTGATATAAAATACTCCAAATCCACTAATGGTTATATGTTTACCTTCGGAGGGGCAGTCGTATCTTGAAAATCTTCCAAACAAACATGTATATCGAGATCAACGATAGACTCTAAGTTTATTGCTTTGGATAAAGCAACTGAAGAAGCTAAATGGCTTCGCCAGTTCATTGAGGATATTCCATGTTAGTCAAAACCGGTGCCAGCCATCTGTGTTCATTGTGACAGCTAATCGGCTATTGGACGCACACAGAGTAACATGTATAATGGAAAGTCTAGACATATTCGTCGTAAACATAATTCCATACGACAACTACTCTCAAATAGATTTGTCATTTTAGACTATGTAAAGTCTAAGGACAACATTGCAGATCCGCTAACCAAATGGTTAAATCGAGTGTTAATAGAGAAGTCGTCAAAAGGAATAGGTTTAAGGCCTGTAGTGTAAGGTGTTATCAGAATGGAAACCCAACCTAGTTTACTGGAGATCCCAAGA